TTTAAGGTGTAGGGTTGTAGTTGAAAGAACAAATAATGTTGACCTTAAACAGAAAATTAGGCTTGACATTAACTGGTCAAAGATGACTCTTCCGGCTAAAACACGAAACGGGTAAAATGTTATTTTATTTGTACGTCTGTTGTAAAGAAATACAAAATTATAACTTTTTTTGTAATTTTAGGAAACTAAAAACTTGTAGCTGTGAAATATACAAAATTGCAAGAACGCAGGGAAGGATACCCAAGACAAAATCTGGTGTAAAGATTTTTAAAACGGTAGTTTTTAGTCCGTGGTATAGCTTTTGTCTGACTAAAGTTAAAAGAGGATTTCATCATAAATGCAATCCAACAATGCTCAGGTAGAAAACGTATTTATAACTTTGAATATTTGACTTTAAAAGGTTGTATAACATGTTCTATAGAAAACAAGTTCTATGTAAATTATTTTTTCAGAAATAACATATCAGCTGCACGAGGATATCAAGGTTTTAGAAAAGTATTATTTTGCGTTACTAATAGTTAAGATTAATAAATCAAAAATGATGATTTTAATTTAGCCTTAGAGAGCTTTTGAACCTTAGTAAGCTTTTATTTAGATGTCAAGAAACAAATGGATTCCCACGTTATTAAAGAAAAGCTATGTAGTAAAAGTGGTAACACCATTTTATTGAAGACAGGAGGTAGTAAACTAAAGTTATCTATTGGATCTGAGAATACTCCGAAAACAACCAATTTTACTCACAAAAATCTTTTTTGTATTCATAAATTCTCTTTCCTTAAGTAATCATCAAATGATAAAACTTGCTAATATGATAAGGTAAAATCACAATACTAATACAAGTTCTGCACAATAAAATGATCCAATACTTGTAGCAAAATTTTTTATTAAAATTATTATAATATTCAACAACTCTGTAATTATAAATTAATAATTACAGAGTTGTTGAAAAAAGAAGAAACTCTGTAGAACCTGGACTGAAAGACTGTGTCTCTTATTTGGATAGTTATATTTATTTTATCTAGTTATATAACTAGTTTCTCCTATTATTTACTGAAGAAAATACTTTATTTGAATTTAAAAACAAAGATAAAACTTTGGAATATAAAAATATTACAGTAGCGTACTGCAATGATATTCCTCTCTTTGTTAAACTACTCCTGGATCTTAAATGTGTTGATTCTAAGAATCAGTTGTTTAAAATTGCTTAAAATAAAAATCAAATTTTGTTTAAATATAGTTGATCTCGATTAAATTTTTGAAAACTACGGCAAATTTGACATAGATTACCTTAAAACAAAACCCGTAATAGGTTGCAGGGGTTTATATAAAGATAATCTAATAAAGAAATTCAAAGATTCGTCAGTAAATGCTTCATTTCTTCTTCTCGTAGGTCCAGAAATCCCAAAAAGATATTTTAACATTAAAAAATATTTGAGCACATTGGGGTATGCAACATAAAACTTAGTCAAATTCTGACAGGTTTATCTCCAAGTAGCAGTTCTGTTCATCCCTGTTAGGTAAGTGAGTGGGATAGAAGCAAAACTTGGAAAAATGCTTCATACAGAACCTTTGAGAGCTATCAAGAAAACTATAGAAAACTCAAAGAACTTGGTTCAAAACCTAAGTGTGCACAACATTTTAAGAATTGTATAGACCTTGTATTAGTACATGGAAACCCCTCTGAATTTCTTTTAGATAGACTTGTTTTACCAGAGCTTCATATAATGGAGGGAACAGTCAATCGTGTAATGGATAACATGGAGCAGATTTGATCGGAAATGAATATGAAGGAGATTTATGAACGGTTGCAAATTATTAGGACTCGTCAGCATGGTAGAAAATTTAATGGAAATTCTTCTCAAAAAATTTTTAAAAAGTGGTATGTGCTTAATAATAAGCTCCTAATTAAGCCAAAGCCTTTTGGAGAATGCTTAAGGTTATTAAATTTAGTTATTTAGTCTTGCTTTGGATCCGGACTTGATGAAAACTTTCAAATTAATATCGAAAATTTAAAAGCCTGCTATAAAAAGTTGATGTTAGAACATGGTATTACTTTAACACCGAAATTTCATATCCTGTTCAATCATGTATCTGAATACTGTAAAACAAAAAAAATGGGCCTTAGAATTTATTCGGAGCAATCTGGAGAAAGTGTTCACTACCTCCTCAAAACTGCCTCATGGAACCGCTACAAGGTATCCGCTAATAATTCTAATTATGGCCATAATTTAGTAAGGGCATTAAGTTCTTATAATGGAAAACATCTTGTTTCTCTTGAAAATGTTGATCTAAATGTTGATATTTTTTAGTAATTTAATTCGAGAAGAATTAGTTTTTAATTTTATATTTGTAAATATATATTCGTTTGATGATTTAAAACATTCCCATTATGTAATTATCCACTCTTTAAAAATGTAATATAACAAAATACCTTCTGGATTATTCTTTTCCATTAAATTGTCTGTAACTTTTAATTAAAATTAACAATAAAATTTTGAATGAAAACATGGCGGACCAAAAAATGGCGCAAAACAATTGCAAAAAAAGCGAAAAATAAACGGCGCGAAAAAATCTTTAAAACGCCATAATTACTTAATAGAAGTTTTCTGATTTGGTGGACTATATACATAATGATAAGTAAACTATACTCTTTCAGAAAACGTTAAAATTAATTTGGACACAATTCAAAAAACATAAATTTTTTTTTTAGTAGATATTTTAGGTACTCCCAGAAGTCCTTACGGTCTTATCACAGAGCACCGCGGAAGAGCAATTAACAGGAAGTTCACGCCTACTTTCGTACCAATGTCGCTTGTTGGGCTAAAGCCAGTGCCGGAACAAGGGGGGCTATAGCCCCGGGCCCCGCAAATTTAGGCGCCCCTCAAAAATTTTAGAGGACCTTTTTATTTATTTTTTAGTCATTTTTAGGCTCTGGCCCATAAAAGGCCTCCAAAAACAAAAATAGCCCCGGGCCCCAAGAAGTCTTAATCCACCACTGGCTAGAGCTGGCGTCGAACCTCGGATATCTGGGTTCTGAGCCAGAACTCTAACCACTGCGCCACGGCTGCTATTTTTATTTAAATTTAGTTAAGGCGAACTGTGCTTTGTCACATATTTCAACTTATTACCTTTCTTTCTAAACCTGAAAAACACATAAACAAAAAAAATTTTAAAAAACACACAGAACTTTTGTGTTTTACAAATAAAGCATATATTGGAACCAAGTCCAGTTTATATAATTTGTATAAAGCAATCATATTAAATACAAATAGATTTATTTTCAATATGTCTATTATTTTTTATATATTTTATAATAATATTTTTAATGTTTTTTTTAATTTTATTTTCTGTATATACATTTTGCAAAAAGAGTTTTTTTTTGCAAAATGAATGTTTTTGCAAAAAAAAAAAAATACCAAGTCGTTTTTATAAGTATAGGGTTTAGTTCGTTCAATTTTTTAATTAGTATCTATTTATTTACAAAGTACATAAAAATTTAAAATATGTATATATATATTTACATATATATACCTATTTTAACAAAAAAAAAATCCAATAGTGAAGGTCGCGTAGTTAAAGTTTTACGAATAATATTAATGATACAAAAAAATATAAAGATTAAAAAAATAACAATTACAAGAATTTTTGTAACAACAACAAATCACCTTTCAACAACAATTAAATATTTACTGGGAGCAAGCCACTGTAGTTTTCATTAAAATGCTTTCCTCATATGACAGAATTAGGTGAACCCAATCACTACGATTTATAAAACGAACCCTATAATTTTTTATATCTGCATTATCATTTTTTTTTTTTTTTGCTGCGTCTTTTGTATATCGGCCAAAATAGGCTGATTTATAAGAAGCGCAACAAAGGCCTCTTAAAATCGGCCTCTAAAATGTAACATACATGACGGTGTAATATGGTAGACTATGATTGAAGTAACATAAAAACTAATTCATTAAAATAAAAATTATTCAATGATATTATTATTACATATGCATTTTATTGTACCAATTATTTAGTACAATTAAGTTTTTACAGCGTATTCCTTGTTTTTACTGTACTTGGTTTCTAATATAGAAGTTAAAATGACATGTAAAATAATTTTTACAAGAGAATATGTATCCTCTAAAGCATTTCCAAAAACAACACCTTCTTGAAACAATAAAATTTATTTTACATTATACCTCGCTGTGGAGAATAATACCCATCGTTTAATTTTTCAAAAAATTTGGTTTAAAAACAATTACTACCAGATTTCGATACTTTTGGTATAATGCGTTTAAATATTAGAATAAAAGACCATTTTAAATAATAACGTAGTTTTAATAAAGGGTTTGAAAGCTACCAAATTGTATATGTTTATTTATGTTAATTAAATTCATTTGTTTATTTGTAACTATTTCATTACTATTTCGTGTTAAATGGTTTAAATTTTGCTCGAAATCTTCAAATTTAGACGGCTTCTTAATAACAATATGTACTTTTCTTTTCACAGTATGTACTTCTAGCGCCGTTGAAATAGAATTTAAACTTGAAAGAGCTATTGAGGTTTTTTTTACATTATTAATAAAGTCTTTTAAGTCGCAAAATTTACTGTCTGAAATGAAAGCAATAATTTCAACAAAAAAAATATAGTTATTAATTTTGGAATGTGTCACAAAAACCATCAAAATCAAAACTTGTGATAAAATAACTCGATATCATTTTCAAAAAGGTTTGTACTAGAATATGATACACGTTTTGTTGGCACTTAAGCTCGCATTAAGAATATGCTTTATTCAATACGTTTTCTTTTAATTTTTTATTCTATTTTTATTTTTTCTTATTCATTTACTTTTTTTCTATTCTCTTTTTCTTCCTATTAGAAATCTAGCATCAGCAAAAAAAATTGTTTTTGATTCGTTCAACTTTTTCTTATTTAATAAGTATTTTTTAGAACAGCCATAAACACAAATAATTTTCTACAACTTTCAATTAAACACAAATAATTATGATTTTAAAACAGAAGAAACGCATAAATTAAAACTGGCTTTCATAAATCAACAATTAAGCGGCTTTTTTTTGTAAGATCAACCACAGGCAAAAATGAAAACCATGCATTAAATATGTTCCACACATGCGTAAAGTTAGTTTTTCAGGTAAAGATACTATTTTTACGTCATTAAAAGTTTGAGAAAATTTTTTTTTTTATGTCTATATGTTCATGCTCATAATAATACTAATGTTGAATAAATCAGTTCTAAAACCGGAATCTATCTTATCATACGATAAATCAGTCAATAAACCAGTCCTAACACCGTAATCCATCTTATCATAAGATAAACCTAAACTGAATCAAAATTTGTAAAAATAAAGCTTAATTAAGTTTGAGTATAAATATTTATAATTGTAATTTAGCTTATTTTTACAAATCTAGCTTTTATAATGTGAAGTTTCTAAGGCCATTGTTTTAGAAATCTGAGAGAGTAAAAATAAAAATTTTTTAAAAGAATAGTCCAAATAAATAAGCCATTATCAACTTTGAATATATTGACTTATCTAAAACGAACATGTGGTAATTTTGGCGTGGTTTTGTTAAAATAAAAGCAGATCAGTTTTTTTTAAAACAGCCAAGAATAACTTGCAATGGAAGGAACGATTTTGCAACAAACAATTTATTATGTAAGGTTGGCAGTCAAGCATTTTTAAGACTGGCCTTTATGCTAGTTCTTGATTTATAAAATAACAAAATATTTTTTTACTTTTTCAATAATTTTCTAAATATAAAAATTGTTCAATAATTATAACGCTAATTTTTTTTTTTTTTGATAAAGTTTATTTGAAATACTAAATAAAAGAATAGGACTTAAAAAAAAAAAAAGTTAAAGTTTTCACGACTTGAATGTTTCAAAAGCTTTTTTCTAAATATATATATAAGGACTATGCATTTACTATATATTACTACACTTACTTTATATTTACTATATATTATATATATAATTACTCTTTACTTAATCAAATTACTAAACAGACAACATTTTTATTGTGAAGCATTTTCTGCATTTTTATAAAAGTATTATAATGTAAAAGTCAGAAGTTACAAAGTATTATTTATGTTTCTATTTTTAATATTGTTTTTAGTTTCTGTGTATTATTTTATAAAAGAAAATTGCACCAGCATGACTTCGACAGATCAGTTTAATGCAACTTTTTTGGGTTTGGTAAACTTTGAAGGAAAATATCTCACAGCCGAAAAGTTTGGAAATCAAATTAATGTTACTGGGACTTCTCTTCGAAGTAAACAAATGTGGTGTTTCGAGCAGACTGAAACAAGTACAAAAGTCTATTTAAAAAGTCCAAACTCGAACTATTTAGAAACAACAAAAACGGGTGATGCGTTGTGTGAGAGCAAAGAAAAGTCAAACAATTTTATTTTTGATGTAGATATAAATGAAGAAGGTCAATGGACATTCAAAGATTGTTTTGGTAAATATCTTTGCGGAAATTCTGAAAGACTTTATACACAGCCTAAAGTTTTAGACGAAGCGTTGTGGAGTATACATATTGCCAGTCATCCTCAGTGTTGTATTTTAAGCATAAGTCGAAAGAGATATGTTGTATCGGAAAATGGAGAGTTGTGCGCGAATGAAGATGTTGCATGGGGTCAAAATGCAGTTATTACCGTTGAGTATCAATGTGGGAAGTACGCCTTAAGAGATTCTTCTGGTAAATATTTAAATGGAAATACAGGAAAGCTGGATGATAAATTTTCAAAAGATTCTTGGTTTACAATACATATCTATGGTAATATGTATGGATTGCGATCTTCAAACGGAAAATATTTGACAACACACGGACCTAATGGAAAACTAATCGCTTCTAAACAAGTAGTTGGAAAAGATGAGCAGTTTATATTTAACGAAAGCAAAGCGCAGTGTTTGTTATTAGCTAACAATGGAAAAAAACTGTCCATAAGACAAGGTTCCTTTTTTAATTTTTTTTTCACCTTTTTACTATATTTTAGAAGTAAATATTAGAACAACCTATTGGTAAGAAGTTTGACCATTGGGTACAAAACTGCTTTCAACCTTAGTTTAGGTTTTATTTAAATTATTCTTTAAACCATGTCACTTTGTTTCACTCAAATTGTTTGGAAGGTAAAAAATTAGGGTTTAGTTTTGATGTTATTTATTTTGAATGTTAGAGAAAACAAAGTGGTTGCTTAGAGCTCAATAAATCTGTGAAAATTAAATTTTTGGTAACAAGGTGAAATAAGTTTTAACGAACAGGATAATTGAACAATATTTTGATTAAGTTAACTGACAATAATAACTTATGATAACTGACAGTAGATTATTAGATTAACAGCTTATGAGCGGCCGTGGCGCAGTGGTAGCACACTTGCCTCAGAAACCAAGGATCCGTAGATCAAACCCTACCTCTGGGGAAATTTGTCGATATCTGTTTGGAAAGATGCGTGAACTTCCTATTAAATGCTCTTTCGCGTTGCTCTCTGAAAAAACTGGTTGAACTTCTTAAGGATAACTTGAGTTTAAAAAAAAAAATTACGATAACTGACAATAGTTTACAATAACTGACAATAGATTATATTTACAACTTTTTTTTAAAATTACGTAACTACTCAGTTTTTTTTTAACGTTTTTTATTTGGCCAAATATACTTTGCATGCAAAATTTTTTGTTATATTTTTCCACGAGAGTCAAAAAAAACTTTCAGTATTTGATTTTCAACTTTTCCACTTTTTTTTTTTATTATCTTTATAATCAAATTTAATCTTTTCACCATTATTTACAGACTGTTAGAAACTGTTTATTCATTGTTACTGTTTTTTAATTAACATTTATATATTAATACAAATAAGAGAACAGATAAAAATGTATATTTTTAATTTAAGGAATTGATGTAACAGCTAACCAGTTTCTCGAACCAGAAGATACAGAGACTTTCCAGATAGATTTCTGTAATGGTGAAATCGACAAGGTAACATTTCTCGCAAGAACAGCCAAATTTTGGAGAGCTTCTGATAAAAGTATTACAGCGACAGCAACAGAAATAACAGTAAACAGTGTTTTTAAACTTGAATGGAACAGCGAGAAAGTTGCCTTAAAGTCATTTAATGGAAAGTACTTAGTTTCCTCATCAGGAGGTCAACTATCACCGGTTGGTGAGAGTCCTAGTGACGTAAATGCATTGTTTACTCTAGTGCTTGTAAATCGCCCAATAATTGTATTTCGAGGAGAAAACGGTTATATTGGTATGATTTCTTCAACAAACAAGATTCAATGTAATCGAGGTATTCATGATGCTATGCAAGTTCTTGAATGTGCTGGAAAATATAGATTAAAAACTGTTTTTGGAAAATTTTGGAAGATTGATGCTGATTTTTGTTTAATTGCTGACGAAGGCAATGGTGATTTGTTTCATTTTCAACTTTATGGTAAAAACAAGATGATGATTTGCGCTGAAAATGGAAAGTTTTTGCAAGGAGACAATAACGGAGTTATTAAGGCTATTGGTACTGCTGCAATTTCAAGTACACTTTGGGAGTACTGAAATTTGTCGAAGTTCTTTCAAAAAGGAATTGTCTATTTCAAATACCAACATCAAAACTTTTACATTAATCAATTAAACTTAATAATATGAACTCTAAACAAAATTTCTTGTTTTATATTACATAAAACCAATACTTGGTTGAACTTTCTTAGAAATAAAATCAATATATATTAAGATCTAAGTAAAATCTATCCTTTCATATTCAGATGTGTTATTATTTTAAAATTATATATTGAAATTGATAAATAAAACATAAAGTATATTTTATTTTGTTGCTGTTGTTATATGTTATTTTGAATCGCTTTTTATTATGTGCGGAATACACAATGTGAGAATGTTTCAATAAGGTATATGCTTAAGTCGCAAGCAAAAATTTGCGTAAGTACAAACACGAAGTACAAACCAGCAAAAATACAACAAACAAACATCAGTGCCGGATCAATGAAGAGGGCTAGGGGGGCTACAGCCCTGAGCCCGAAAATTTAGGGGCTCCCCAAAATTTCAAAGGATCTTATTTTTTAGTCATTTTTAGGCTCTGGTCCATAAAAAGGCCTCTAAAAACAAAAATAGCCCCAAAGAATATAGGCTATTTTTGTTTTTGGAGGCTTTTTTTGGGCCTCAAGAAGTCTTAATCCGCCACTGAAAAAAATACATAAGTATGTTTATGTATTTTTTTCAGTACAAAAATAGTACACGTTGTGATCGATTTGAAAGGAAAGCATTTATCCAGTTCAGAATGTTACCTTCAATTCCATAGGATTTAAGTTTTTGCAATAATCTTCTGTGACTTTATTGAAGGCTTTGGCAAAGTCAAGAAACAGCACGTCTACTGGAAGCTTGTGGGAAACGCTGTGGTCTCAAGCAGATTCATGACGCAGATTTTTTTATTGACAAAGCCGTGTTGGCAATTGACATTAAATTTATAAGCTACAAGGTGCTGCCTGATCTTTTCTTTGACCATTTGTTCCATTATTTTGCATGGTACAGAGGTGATGGAGATTGGCCTGTAGTTTTGTGGGTCGAGCCTGGAGCCTTTTTTGAACAGTGGCGTGACGTTTGCCGAAAGCCAGGCTTTTTGGACTACATCTTGATACATCGATTTCTGAAAAATGATGACAAGTGGGGTAGCTGCTGCATCGGCACATGCTTTAAACACAAATGGACCTATACGGTCACCTCCAGTTGATCGGAATCATATCTGAAAATGATGGAGGAGATTAAAGCGGTTGTACGGTTGACAAAGGGAAGTAGTGGTTGACCTGATGGTTTAATTTTGAATACTGACTGGAACCTAAGGTTAAGTATTTTCGCTATGGATGCCCGGTCGCTGCTTATTTTCCCAGAAGGTGAGCACATAGAAGTTATTTGGTTACTGACGGCGCGTTTATGATTCACATAAGCATATAAACGCTTGCGGTGACATTTATCGTTTGCTATGTTGCGTTCGAATGCTCTAACGGCAATAGTGGAAGCTATTTTTAGAAGGTTTCGAGTTAGGTCATATTCTTTAACAAGAGGGATAACTTGCTATTTACTATTGCGGTTTAGGTACGAAAGTTTATTCTTATGTTTAATTAGTAAGAGAAATTCGCTAGTTATCTAAGGCTACCTGCGTTTAGTTGGTTTGGAGGTGGCACGGGGAATAAGTTCTTCACAGCATTTGATATAGTTATTGCAGAAGATTTGATAGCATTCGTCGGCATATCGGTCTTTAAATAGACTGATCCAATTAACTTGGGAGAGTTTCTCGTTTAGATTCCTGTAATTACCTCTCCTGTATATAAATTTTGAGCTGTTAAAACGGGGAGAGTTGTAGGCGTTTTTAGCTAGCTGGTGTTGCCATGTCAGAGTGCAGTGACCCTGTGAGACACTACCAAGAGAAGGACCAGTAGTGATTTGGCTTGTTCGCTTAGTCGCTTCGGTAATTACGAGGTCTAGTGTATTTTTGAAAAAACCGTTAGCTTGGATGAAGGTGGGATTAATTACAATCTGGTGTAGATGTAGGTAAAAAATCATTTTGGCAAATTTAGTGCTAAAACTAGTTTCAGCGCTGGTGGTATAGGTCTAATCGTCATGCCATATAAAGTTGGGAAAGTTAAAGTCACCGGTGATTATTAGACCGTTAAATTTTGTTTTCTACGGCCTTTTCGCATATGAGATTTTACTATTTCATCAAAGGCCAGAGCATTAATGGTAGGTGGGCGATAGATGCAGTCAATTAAAAGAGATTCTTGTGGGAGTTTAAGTTCAACCCAGACCTGTTCTGAGAAATTGCATAGGAAACCGTTGTGAAGTTGAGAGTAGTCAGTATTGCAGGCGTTAATGCTATTCTTGACGTATATGGCTACTCCTCCTCCACAATTAGAGCAATCTTTTGTAAAGATATTCTAGTTGGGAAGAGCAGATGCTGAGGATTTATCAAACCAGGTTTATGTTTTTTTGTGTATATGTTTTTATTTGTTTGTATTTATGTTTGTATTTATGTTTCATGTGTTTATGAAAATGGGTATACGAAGAGTTCTTACGTCAGATAGGACAAAAATAGATTTTTTAATCCTTTAATTTAATCTAATATTCAAGTTTTACAATCCACATTTTTTCTTTTTATTTATAACCATGATGTCAATTTTATTTATAACCAATATTAATAGATTTAATTTATAACCATGAGGAGATTTTAAGAGTGTATCGAATTTCTATATAAATAACATGTGACATAGAAATCAAATAATAAATAATGAAATTAGAATATAATTTAAGCATATCTAGCGGACACCTTCTTGGCATTCGCGTTTTGAATTTGAAGCAATTATTATTCCCAATGGAATGCAAATTAAGAAATTTTCTCTTTTTAATGAAGGCTCAAGATATGTTTGCTAGCTGAGATGTTATATTTATTTTAAAACTTACTAATCTAGCTGTGTAGTTTAAGTGAGACATGATTCATTAAGAAAGATATGGTTTGAAGTAAAAAAAAAAATATTAAGGAGCTTATAAGTGTGATTAATACCATAACTGGTATGCATGCTGGCTAATTCTTCTAACATAAATAACTTTTGCTTGAAACTATATGGTTTATTTTCTTTAGCTTAACTACATAACATCTGATTACATAATTACTAAATGTTGTGTTTAATAAATTTGTCAACAAAATGTTTATCTCGGTACATTGAACACCGGTTTACCTCGACTTGTTTTCGTAGGTCCCTTGAAAGTGGGAACAATTGTTTTACTTTGACTTTCTTTTTAGTTTAGCCAGAGACTGTCTATGTCTTAAAGACGTCTAAAGACAACTGTTAACAACCTTTTGAAAAAACAGAAATTACGCAAACTTGTTTGAACAAACGAGCTCTGGGGATATTTTGCGCCATCGGTAAGGAAGGAGGCGTTAAATTCCTAGTTAAATAGTTATTCGCGGTCTGTGACAAGACCGTTAGGTCTTCTTGGGGCACCTAAAACAAAAAGTTAAGAAGAAAAAAAAGAAAAAAGAAACTTTTAAAACTTGAGTAACTTGTGCCTAAAGTTAAAGAAGTTTTTCTTTATTTTGTGCTTAAAGTCATTTTGAAGTCATTTGTAAACAAATAAACAGAAAAATGAAAAGAAGCATACATCCTATTTTCATTTTTTAAATTTATTTTAATTACTTATTAGTGCAGTAAATATAATATTATGCTTATAACATTTTTAACACATTTATTATATTTATTAAAACATTATATAGAGATTTTATGAAAAGATTGCGATTACATATTGTCATTTTCATCTTCTTTGAACCCCCGTCTGTTAAATTCTCTATTTTATAGAGATAATTAAAAAAAAATTTTGTTTAACTTTAATTTAAATTGTAATTAAGACCTAAAATTTGCGATACTTTAAATGGCAAATGTTTAATCTCGATTATTGCTTTACTTATTGGGTCATCGAGAACGTTTTTAAAAAACTTATTATTTTGACGAGATTATTTGTTACCTTATATTTAACATATTTTCCACAACTTTTCTCAAAGTTGTATTTTTTTTTTTAGTTTTTATACCTCTACAGTTCAATTTTTCATGAGTTGTTTTCTTTATCATTTTTATTTTGTTATTCTTTTTAGGAAGGTTTATCAAAGAGAGAGCGTTTAAATGGTTTTTGAAGGTAAAGCTTTTGAAGGATTTATTTTTAATAAACTTTTCATATCGATTTCCACACAGCTCTGTTGTTAATAACAGCATAATTAGGCTTCGTTTATATAAATAAAATAACTCTAATTTACAAAAAAGATGCTATATTGGATAGATAAAAAAAACCTCCATACATACGTTTTCACGAGTTATTATTATCATTTTTTTTTTTACATTGTTTTTTCTAAAAGAGAATAGAGGTCACACAGTTACTTTGAACGTAATAAGTTGTCTTGCAAAGTCAAGAATGGTTCATTGGCTTGAGTCAAAATAAATCAAGAGATTCTTATAGATTTTTTTCTTTTTAAAAGATTAAATTTAAAAAAAAAAAAAAAAAAAAGAAAAACAAGTTTTCAATAAAAAAACACCAAGTTCTTATAAAAAAACATTTAAAAAAGTATATAACTGCATTAATTTTAAGTGCTTTAAAATCAAAAGGTTAACTTAATATATTATTGATGTCGCATTATAGGATCACGCGTTTAATTTTTTAATGCTATAGTGATAAAAAGAGCTTTATTTAAAGAGTGTGGTTTGGTGCATTGTCAACACAAAAAATCAATAACTGTGATTACTAAAAACGAATTAAGTGCTATAAAAAGGTTTATTACTATAAAACACACAAAAATATTTGTGATATGTAAAGGTCATCTGCTCAATAAACTCGTATTGTTCGGTGCAGTTTGAGATAAAAAAAAAAATTAATTTACTTACTCCAACTAAGAATATTATGCAATATTTAAGTATTTATCGGATTTGAGCTCATCGTCAATTTAATTAAATTCTATGTGCAATAATAATAAACCAATATACAGAAAGGTTTAATTTTTTACTGAAAGAAAAAAATTATAAGAAAAAAAAACCGCCAAGATAACGCAACATAAAATTATGAAATTGAAACGGTTTAGAAAAGCATTAAATCGATCAAAGTAATGAATGCTAAGGTAATATTTATTAGTCAGTTTTTAACTAACACAAACTTTCAAACAGTTACAAAATAAAATTATTTGTTTATCTACTTCATAAGCATATATATACATATATGTATATATATTTTTTGCATAACTATATGTAAAAATTGTATATATAATTGTATGTAAAAATTATTTATAGATAAATTTTGATTCATACTTATATGACTTATAACATATGTAAGAACGTATTTCTTCGACGATAACAAAAAATCATTCTTATTCCAAAACATTCATTCATTTATGTTTAAAAATACCATGAAATTAAAAAAACATGTATTTCCATTGTTTGTTTTTAAGTGCAGAACAGAAATATTTGGGTTTACAAAGCTTGATATTGTTTTCAAATATGTTATTTAAATGTTAATTTTTATTATATATACTTTTGAATGTTATTAATACAAAATGATACAAATATAGGTCTTTGTGTTTCACGCATAAAATAACATTGCAATTTAGCTAGTCAATTAACTGTCTTCATTTTAATAAAGCAATTGGTCATATACGATCTTGCATGGCCACACTGGTGAGCTCCAAAAGGAGCTTACCAGTGTGATTATCCAAGAATTTGCTTGCTCATTAAAAATCAAGTCATGATTTAGATCACGATTGCTCGTAAAAAATTAAGTAAAATTTAAATAAAAATTAGCTTTTAAAAGGTAAATCCTAATGCCTCCTTTTTTTAAGTGTTTTTTATTTTTGTTGTTAACTGGTATTTAATTTAGAATTTAAACATTATTTTAAAAACACAATTTTTTTTTAAAAATAATCCAGCAAATTTAAAAATTATTAAAATTTATAAAAAAAAGTAGCGAATGTAGCATTTTAAAGCCAAACATTATTATGCTCTGGTATATCAACTTTCAAACAGCTATGTTTATTTTATAGATTTATACCCACACGTAAATATTCTATTAAAATGATTTATTGAAGTTGCTTTGAAAAGTCCAGTGTCGCCGAGCTACTAAAAAAACTAAAATTAAACATTATAACGTTATGTTTAACAGATTATTTCTAATTGC